CTGCATTTTAGCTTGCTGTCTTGCAACTTAGTTGCATTTCACAGATTTCTGAACTACTATTTTCTTTTTCCATTGTGGTTCTAGCACAATTCATGCTCCTGCTTCTCTACTGGGTTAGAATAGCTGCGCTACTGAACGCCTTCCTTTAGTCCTGTAGCATTCCAAGCTGGAGCTGGCACTTCACAACTGTTGTTGAATGTATGGGTTTAAAGGCTATAGGTTACAGTTTTATGGAGGGAGTGGAGAGATGAGTCAGGATCTGTATCTTGTTTTAAAGCTAAGGACTATGGGCAGATACAGGCTTGTGAACGCTATTTCCAAGTGTTATTGTTAAGAATGCTGGACTCAAATGGGAGTTTTAGGGAACAACGGGAAGTAAATAAAGTTTATTGCTTCCAATAGTGCAGTACTATATCTCAACAACATCAGAACTCTGAATCATCAGAGATGATTCTTCTGGTAGGCTGCTTTGAGGCTCGAAGTTAAGATTGGAAACCCAAGGATGTGCATTTGGAGTGGGAAGGAAAGCAACTTCAGGTTTTGTTGGGATGCACAAAGCAGCGACTTACTCAGAGCCCGTTGTTAGTGGCATGCAGTGGCGTTGTAGAAAGGGAAGATCCGTATGTGTGATCTTTGAAAGAACTGTAGCAAAATGATATCTAGCTTTAAACTAGATTTAAGTTTGACATTTTTGTGGTCAAACAGAAGACTATCACAAGACTACTTGCTCTTGTAGAGAGGTGAATCAATTATACTTAGAGGCAGAGTGCTAGAGCTGTATCTAGCCTGGTGACTTTCCTACCTGCTCACGTTCATGGTTGCTGCTATTCAAAGCACTTCAGCTTTCTTTGAGTGGCTGTTGTGCAAATATGGCAGTTTCTAGTCTGGTGTTGGATGAAATTTAAGATCAAGCTTGAAGTAATTGTCGCTGGTATTTTCCAGTAACGTCCCCTAAAACTTGGAAAGCTGTCATCCTCTTGGGCTGGCATATAGCTAGCTTGAAAAGTGGAAGAAAGTTTTGTGTTCAGATTTTATGGTGGGGGGGAAGCCGAAACCCCAAAGTAAACAACAACAACAAAAAAAATCCCATTAAAATATCAAGTTCCACCTATCCCCTTCTGAGACTTAATTCTAACTGCATTCAAACTTCACCAATTTATCTTAAACAGCAACAAAAAAGTGATTTGAAAAGCAAAAGCAGAGTGGAAACAAGCAATTGCATTACCAGAGCATCACATTAATGCCACCTGTGGAAATGGTTAATGTCTTTGAATTACTGTACCATCAGTGGTGAAACTCTTGCACAGAGTGCTGTGGGCACAGGCAGGAATAGTTGAAGCAATGTTGTTAAATAAGGAAGAAAACTGCCACTTGTAGCTGTTACTACAGCTGTTGTAGTTGTGTGATCATGAGAGCCCATAGGTTTTTGTATAGTGTAATCCAAACAGTGTTAGGAATATAGATGTCTTGGTATGTGCCAGTAACGGCTTCTTACTCCATGGCGCTTCAGTTACTTTTCAAGCTCTTCAGTGCATCTACTGAAACATTTTTGAGTGTCATTTGAGAGTGTTAATATGTGTTCCAGTGTGGTTATATAAAACTAGCAGGGAATAAAACTTGCAACTTTTCCACTGGGCTTTTGTAAACCAGAGCTTAATTCAATGAACTAATTTAATACTTGTATCCCACAGGTCCTTTCAACAGAAAGCATTATTCAGTTCTAAAGTGTAGGCTTCTTTTTAAGGAACTTCGAAGTTTTCAAATGGATTTTGAGTTCTGCACCAAAATGCTATTGACTTTTCAGTCCATCTCAACAAATGACTTTTCTTGGAATCAGTGGAACTCATGAATATTCTAAGCAGCGACAAATATATCAAATCTAGTACACTTCCTGCAATTCAGTGAATGCAACTTGTAAGCATTCACAGATGCTGTTCCTTAACAGGGCTTTTGTAAGGCTTTACTGTTGTCAACAACACATCAGATGTGAGACTGTTAGCTGCCAAAACAATGTATTAAAAGTGTCCTTCCATCTTCAGCAAAGCTTATTTATAAACCTCCCATTAATTTCTCTTGGATTAGAATTCCTGTGTGAGGTTTATTCTGACATGATATAAAGTTTGACCAGCTTTTTGCCTTCACAAGAAACAGACTTCAATATCCACTCAATAAAAGTAAAATTGTATATTTTCGCTTGTGCATTCATAAAAAGCGAAACAAGCCTTTGCTTAATTCAGTACACCAAAGAATATTAAAAAAAACGTCAAGATTCGTTATGGTGGGGACTACATTCTGGGCAGTTTGTTTTAATGTTATATTTGTTTAAAAAAATGAATTAAAAAATCAAATCTTGTAAGAGCTATGAGCATGCCTAAATCTTTTGTACAAGAAATATTAAGTAAAACCTTCTGTGTGTGTACACATTTTTCCTTTTTAAATCTGCCAGCTTCCTGGTTAAACAGCTTTGATATAGTGACAGATTGCCATCAATGTTAAAGGCGTGCATCTTTTCAGCTTCCACAAGTGCTAGAAGCAATCCTGGTGGTATTCCCTAGTATGTGCAGAGACCGGATGGTTATTGCTATCCATAAAGTCAGGATGCATGAGCTATTTTGTATTTTAAGAACAGTGCTCCAGATTGTATCTTCCTGCATACCTGCTTTTGGGAAAAGAATCTCCTGCAATTAAGTTTCAAATATAGCCGCTGCAGTAGTTGCAGATTTAAGGGCAAGGCTATAGCGTAGTATTTAGTGACATGTTGGTCTTTTGAATACTTTGTCTTGTTTTCTTGATGATTCTTTGAACACTCCTCCTTCCCTCCTGAAGACAATGTAAAGTAACACTGTGAAAAGTGTCCTGTACTTGTGAAATGAGCCTTTGTTGCTTACATAAGCACACTTTTTGCATCTTTTTTCTTTTATGGATGGACCCGTTCATTTCACTAACGGCATGCAGTCCTGGGATTGACTGAGGACAGTGTCTTTTAAAGATGTTGGTACCATGGCTTGGCTTTCTCATCAGCCCTTCCTTCCAGGTCATGTGTCAGAAACCCCTAGTTTGGTGTTCTGGGTGCTTACTCTGCTTCCACAGGGATGGACTAAGATATTGCAGGTTTCCCTGATGGGGACAGAGTTGTGGGATGGATGCATGGATCACAACTAATGCTTACTAGAACCCCTTGTATTAATTAAGCTATTATCAATAGCAACAGCTTGATTCCATTAATGGCAGATAACTATTCATACAGTGCAAGCAATTATTCCCAAACATGCTTACTCACTTACGGGGTTGGAACAACAGCTGGGAGACCTCCACGGAAGTGGAGGGGTGTACTGACGCACCTACAGCTCCTACATGGGTGTTCAAAAAAATCTCTCAAGGTGCTCTCTCTTTTATCAGGTGTGTATGTAATCCCGTACTCCCTGCCTGCCTATAGCAGCTGCTGCTTTCTTGAATGCAGTTGTCTTTTTTTTTTTTTTTTTTTTTTTTTAAACAAGCTGTTGTTGATGGTAGCGTGTGCTGGTGGCCTCGGACAGACTAAGCAGAGTCTTGGTGTTCTGAGTTTCTCGGTTCTCCTGGATTCCACAGGACTGCTAGTCTTGACCTTACTGGTTCTTGGGAAACTTTCACACTTCATCAGCATCTACTTCTACTCTCCAGCTTGCTCTTTTCTGGTGGTTAAATCTTCAACTACACACATGTATCTGTAGAGTCCATTCATGCAGACTTCCACAGAAGGGATTTTTGTGACAGGCGTTTGCTTGTTTCCCAAATAACAAAACACATTCTGAGAACTGAAAAGATAGTTTGTATCTGAAAGCTATACAATGTCTTACAAACACTAACAGTTCCTAATTGTAAAACTATGCTGCATGGTCAGAGACCCTGACAGCGCTGGAATTTAAGAGCGACTGCACTTTTGGGACAGATTGCGGTTGTTGAAGCATGCCACTTCTATCTGGGCAAAGCCAAGAGACTGTTTTCTGCGCACAAATGTGAATGCATTCAATTTGAGAAGGAAATGTATTTTAAAATACAGCAAGTGCTGTAGGTGAAGAATAAATCTGGGGATCTCTTTCCAGAGGAAGAGTGTGAAAGTACAAGCTTAGCTAGTTAGTACAAAAACATCTTCCAACAAAAGTGCTATGTATTCTGTTCGCTCAGAGGTGAACTTGTAAGCATCCGGAGAAGTAACCTGATGGACTACTTAACTTTTAATCCCTCTGTGTTTTTCATAAGTTTCTGGAAAGTAACTGTCCAATATTCAGAATAAATGCACTTCTTTCACTTTCAAAGCACTCGTACATAGCATGCTCTGTGGGAGCTTGTAATCGAAGTCAAATAGTACAGCCGCGTATCTGGACAAATGCTTGCTAATATGATCTTGTGATGGTTGGCTTTCTAAGAAGTAATAGAGTAATGCAGTCATCTGCCTGTTTGAGTGTAATTGCTTTAGGCACTGGCAAAAGTTATCTGCTAAACTGAAGCTGTGTGCATGTTCCCTGGTTTTCTAGTCCGTGTTATGAAAGTTGAAGGTGTGGAGATTGCAGAAAGCATTAATAGAAGCAATAGTTCACAATTTCTTTCTTAAATCTGTAAGTTACACAGTGGTTTCTAGCTGTTTTCTTCTTAGTCTCCAAATAGCTTCATAAGATACACTAAAACAAACCCCAAACAAAAGTCTGTTGCATGCTGCTAACTTACACTTAAAGTGTCCGGTATTATAAAACAGCTCTGATACTGCATAAAGTAGCTTAGAATTCAGAGGTAAAACTGAGTGTTAAGTACAAATATTAGCATCAAAGCACCAGTAATGAAAGCTGCTCCACTTCAAGTTAATTTTTTTAAAGTATGAGAGAAAGCTAAGGTTGCACACTATGCATTTGCTGAGCAGTAAATCTCTACAGTGGTGAACTTAGTTTAAAGAAATGTAAGCGCATACAAATATCACTTGTTTATATGCTTATAATAACAAAAAGAAAACCCTTCTCTCTTTTCAGAAACTTTTTCACTAAAAGGACAAAGGAACTCAAACCTGCTGTCCAAAGCGCTCCTGGTTGGAAGTTGTTTGGAAAAGTCCCACCCAGGGAAAACCTTCCGAAAGATTCCAAAATTATTCAGCAGGTGAGTAAACATCACACAACTCCAGGTACAAAACTTGTAAAAAATTAATGCATAGGTATTGCAGTTCTCTGCTGTTATCTCCACGTTGTTACTGTACAACCACAGAGTGCTCTGGGAAGACTCTTTTGGGGCCTTGTCTAAAGAATAGTAGTTACTGAGAAGGAGTTGGAGTTTTATGATTATCTGGTACATTCTTCAGTACATCTCAGTACTTATAAAAAGGTGATACATGTTCAAAAAGCATTTAAGGTGTTTAGTCAAAACATCAGAACTTGTATTACTTCCTGTAAAATTTTGCCTTATTTAACATGATATGCTACAATTTTTTTAATGCTAAAGTGATTGTGAAATACTCTAGGCTTCCTTTATTAAGTTCAATTCTGAGTTACTTTTGCCTGTTTTGTGCAATAAAACCATAGTCATATTTGTATATTGCGTTTTTCTTCAAACTAGGTACTAATCTAGTAAAATTTATCCTCTTAAAGCATTCTTGTGTTATAAAACTGGTTGGGTTTTTTTTTATTTGTGGTTTTTTTTTTTTTAATTTAACTCGTCTTTCCATATTCCTTCTTGCCTGGAAGACTTACTGTCTGGGTAACTTGTGACAAATTGCTTAGAATTCTGAAACATGTAATCTTGTTTCATTTAGACTTTTAATCTCACTTAAGGTATTTTTGTTTCAAAATAGTGCTGTAAGTTGTACTTGTTTTGGATTTACTGGGGTACTACAGAAAGATAATTCTGATTTCCTTCCCCCGATACCAAGTTGTACTTCCATATATTGGTTCCTGTGGAATCTGTCTTTAATTTGGTAAAATAATAATAAAATGGCATAGTCTTTAAAGATGAGCAATTGGTAATGTATCATTAACTTAATGTTAACATGCAATCCTGAAGTTGAAAGATCTATTGACCCTAAGAAATGTGAATGTCCCTTGTGTTGGTGAAAACAGTAACTTGAATCTCTTGAGAGCTGCTTTCTCTTTGTTTCCTTTCTCAAATTCCATATAAGCTGATGTGTTTGGCAGGTGCAAATGGCTGTGAATGAAGCAGTGTTCAGGCATCTTCTAGAAAGAGCTTCGTGGCGAAGAGAGCCTTTTGGGAGCAACTAAAGTGAAAAATGAGAGGTCCTTTTTGAAGGACTTCAATGTAATGGGACTTGTCACATAACAATGTTGTAGGAAAATGATGAGATTGTAGCAAGTGCTATTTACTCTGAAGTAAACTGGGTGCTTTTTCAACACTTTCAAATACAATTTTCCTTATTTAAATGGTTTCCCTTTTTGGGTGAGAGAGGGCAAGTGTTCTTTCTTAGTTTACTTGCAGATGAATGCTGTTGGCCTTGTGCTATGAAAATACTGTGGTAAAAATCCAGATGTCTCTTCCATCCTGAAAAATGGAGAGTGTGCACAATGCTACCAGTCATCTGCTTCCCGTTTTCTAGTAACGAAGATGTTTGTTCTGGAGACCAAGTCACAATCTGCAGAAATAGTCTTATTTTCTTATCCTGTGGTCCCTCAGTGACTGTTTTTCTTTTAAACTGTAGTGTTCCCATGTTTTTAACTTCTGTGAAGTGACAGAAAAACAAATATGTTAAAACAACATATTGTCTTTAAACATGATTGAGTTGGTCCTAGCCACTAGTTATGTGGTTTGTGTTATAATGGTTGCCAGATTACAGTCACTATTGGATTTATATAATCTTGAGTAATGTGTTAGTAATAGCTAATACTTTTAGCTTCTAATTTAGCTAAAGCATGTATGGTCTTTAGATGAAGCATCATGAGCTAAGATACACAGTTAACAAAGGGGGATCCAGATTAATGGTATACTCTGCACAGAGTTAGATCTACAATACCTGATAAGATTTGATTCTAAAATGGAGAGGTGAGCCTAATGTCTCCATGTCAAATGTCTTGCATGTCTTAAAATTTACAGTATAGCCCCTTGTACATATGCCTCTGAAGAAAATGGTTTCTTTTCTCAAAAACATTCAAATTTGCTAAGCTGGAGATGGGTTAGAATGAATATAGGCACACTTGGTTATTGAAGATCAGTGGAAAATAGTATCTTCACTTTTGAATGGCTGACTGAAGTCCCAAGACTAAATTCCTCACTATGCAGGGCATATGAGTGAAAAGAATATGGGCAAGAATGCAGTTATGAGGCCTTGAAGAAGTTGATAGAAATATGATTAAAGCTTAATATGTTCTGTTCACAAGTAATTCTGTGAACCTGGCAGAGTTCTTCATATTCTACATGGTGTGTCTCTACAAACTTCCACATTGACTTTCTAAATTGAAATCAAGGGATCAAGTGTAATCTAAAACACAAAACACACTTTTTTTTTTTCCCAATTTTTTTAGCCATCTGTGGTCAGAACAATGGCTACTCACTGTTACCAGCTCTTGTAAAATAGGCTCTAGGCGTAAGACTATGGAAGTAGAATGGGCTTAAGCTGTAGGCAAGCTGCCTGTGAGGGAGTTTACGGTAGTTTATTATTAGCAACAAATCTTGCCGTTCCTGAACAGCTATGGCATTCTCCATGGTTGAACACAAAGTTCTGTGACTTACTGATGCCAGTGGCCAGCTTTGGGAGGGTGCAAATAAACCCTTGATTAAGGAAACCCTGTAATGAGTCAGCATCCTTCAGATGATGGATGAGATCTTAAGAAGCCCTTTTGCAGGAAAAATTAACTCGCGACAGGAAAAACTTCGTAGTTAATAGAAGGAGGAAGTCTTTTGGGTAAGGGTAATACTTATATCAAAGCTTTATGGCAATATTGTGAAACTTAAAGGACTTCCCTATTAGTAAAACAAGAAAAAAATTGCATCATTGAAGATTCATACTCAAAAGGGCGGTAGAGCTTACATGCCCTGTTTCCATCCTGGCTGATGGAAGCCTCCTGTGTTATCTTTGTTTGGGTAAGGATGATGTAGTAAATTGATAATTACATTTAAATGAATGCTTGTGGTTCCCAGTCACTGTCTATCAACTAGACACTGCTATATATGCCTCTACAGAGAAGTCAGGTAGTGATTTTAATATCTTGAATAACTTCCAAGAAAAGCTGGAAACTTAATTTGGGATACTGTTTCAGACATTTTTCAGACAATGACACTAGCCAGCTCTGCCTTCAGAGACTGTCTAATGAATATTACTGTAAATCATTTCTTTGCAAGTTTCTTAGCACATGTAGAAGAAGGTAAATGTTTTTGTCGAAAAGCAGCCTGCAGGGCTTGCCTGGCTGGGGCGATGGCAGAGTCCCCTGCAGCTGTGCTGCCATCAGCATGCTTTGGGCGAGATGCTCGAGCTCGAACTGGGTCAGAGGTTGAAAGTTCTTGGCAGCTGCGTCTACCGCTCGCAGCTGCTGGCACGCTCGGCTCTCCTTGGATTTAGAGCTGCCCAAGCAGGATGTGATTGAGGCCAACGCTTTTGCTGGACATCTCCCTCCTCTGGGCTTCCTTCCTTCACTGGTTTTTAAAAAGGGAAAATAGCAACTCTTTAGGACTGCAAATGTCAAATGCATTTGGTTTTAGGAAGTGTGCCTTTTTTCATGAAGTGCAGCTAATAAAACTGGCTATTATAGGAAGTGTGTGGTCATTAATGATCAGCCTGGTAAATTCTTTTTGGTCTGTGCAGAAATCTGCTTTAAATTAGACTGCCGAAATATTTTAATATTGAAGCATTTAAAGCAGAAACGGACTTGTGGGCTGATGTGTAACATTTTGGTGTGTATTGACTGAAGTGTAAGTTCTGTTTAAAAATGCAAACTCAATTTCATTTTTTGTGCTTATGGTTAAAGAAAAGAGCTTTTAATCTATGATCAAAATGATTCTGAATGTCAAGTCATTAAGTTTAGCTCTTGCTTTTTATTAAAGCAGTCTTGAATACTTTTTATTAATTTGTTTAAAGCAGCGTGGTGATTTTTTTCCTAATATGCCTGAATTAAAGTAAATGCAAAATATGGAAATACACATTGCAAGATAAAGAAAAGTAAAACATACACCAAATTCACTTTATCAGCAGTTTTAAAAAAGTACCGTCAGTGACAGCCTTAAATAAGGGGGCGGGGGAAGCTCCTTTTCTATTTAAATCTGACACACCATGAAAAGCTTGCAGTGATTTAGAAATGATTGCTTATTCAGAAGTGAAGTAAAGCCATCTTTTCCAAAAGCTGTCACCTTGTATACAAAATGGAAGATATTTTAGACAGTCTGTTAATACTACCTCTGATTTTGATGACTGGGTCACTGTCCTACAACTAACCTCTGAAAATACTATTTTTGGGTGGCTCTGAAATCTTAAAAAAACAACAACAAAAAGTAAAATACTGCACTTGAGGGCTAAAAAACAGTGTTTTCACTTGCATATTTTTCTGATGTCGTTATCTCCGGTCTGAAATCTAATAGAGAAATTGCATTCACTGAATCAGCACAACTCCCATGGTCTCCCAGGGACAAGAGTTGTCAGAGGTTTCTCTTTAGAGGAACAGATGCATTTTGAATCAGTTTTCATGCGACTCAGACCTTCTAACTTGCAATATTAACTCTTCCCTCCAATCTTCGTTGTTTCAGTTTAACAATGCATGAAGCTCCTAATGCTTAAAAAGTGTATATGGCATGTTTGTCAACGAACCTAAGGATTGAGTATCTGAAAGAAGTAGGTAAATACAGTGCTAGATGCTTTTTCATAGGAGTGGTTCTTAAGCAGGCAGATAGCTAGATAGAGGTCACGTTGGCTCGTCTTGCACTACTACTGGAGAGAAGAGAAAGGCAAGACTTCTGCCTGTTTAGCAGATATAGGTAGAAATACGTTGGTAACAAACTGCCTTGAAACCAGGACAGACAATAAATGGGGGTATTGGGTCTTGCAAGGAACATGTAACACCTGAATAACAATTTGGCTACTAGCAGCAGTGAGGAGGCTGTGGTGGTTTTCTTTGTAAATGCTTTAGTGGTCAGATTCTCAAGAAATGTCTGTCATCTTTCCAGAGTCACACATGTAGTCACTAAAATGCTATGCTAGAGGTAAAACAAAGTGTTATGTTGAAGTCTCTCAGAGACATTCCCCAGCGTTTTAGACTTTTACAATTATTAGCTTGTCAGTGAAATGGTAATGAAACTGGTAGGACCTCAGTGAGACAAATGTATCTCCTTTTGTTTGCATAAAGGACATAAAATACAGTTCAGCTCCTAGTACCAGGGCTTACCCAGCTGCTTTGACAAGAAAGACTTGTCCAGGAGAACTTCTCGTGATGTCAGTGCTATGTTGGTGGCACAAATGTATCTTCAGGGAAATACTCTACAGTGAGCATGGGACTAATATTTTGAAAATACCGCAGAGGTGTTGACTCTGCTGATGTGAATTCTTCAGATTGCTGTTTTTTTAAAAAAAGGCTTTGAGGTCAACTACAAAGAGTATTGAAGCAAACTTTCTCTTCCTAAAGCTTGAAAAAGAAAACATAAGCATTGAACATATTTTCATTTCTGTCCTTGGAAGTTGCTGGGTTTTGGGGAAACAAAGACTATAGCAACAATCTTGAGGTAATGAGCATGATAGAACTTATTTTACTTTGATTTGGTGGGACACTAGATTTTTTTTTGGTCTTCTGGATCCTCTTTTTGATGGGATGCCTCCTCCTTAATTGGGCCTTTGAATTTCTTTAGCAAAGGATGACACAAAAATAGTTGTTTTTTCTTCTCTTAAGAAGTGAGCTTTTGCAGGTTAAGCAGACTTATGCTGGTGAGCTTGAGGTGCTGCGATAGCAAAATCATCATCTAGGCAGGCTGTTTCAAATTCCAAAAGGATAGGATTTAGCAAAAAGATTCAGGTGGTAAAGATGCTGCCTTTTGTGGACTTTTTTAAAGTGTGGGGTTTTTTGGTGTGGGGGGTTTGTTGTTTTTTTTTTTTTTTAATATAAGCCTTAACCTTCTGAGGCTGGCATGCTACTTCAGTACTGAAAAGGAGAAAATAGTATGGCAAGGGAGAAGGAAGCCTTTAAAATGCTTTTTATTAGTCTGGGGTCTGCATGCTACAAGAACACTGCAGATGCATTCAGAAATAACGTTGAAGGCATGATAAAAAACTTATTTTCCTTCTTCCAGGTGCTGTAATCCAATGCTTAAAAGCAACGTCTTTCTCTTCCCCCCGCTCCCCTGTCTTTAAGCTTAGCTCTTCCATTAGAAAACCAGCTTTGACTTTTGAATGGAAACCTGCGGAGCTGTGGTTGTACAGGGTCTCCGTAGTCAGGCATACTTTTGCCTGATTGCCTTGCTGCAATGTGGTATGAGGGGTTTCATATTGCTGCTTAGAATCTTACTTTTAATTAAGTGACTGTTTCTCAAAGCCTTACAAATGTATCTTAGTTCTCATCAGCTCACCAGAGAGGTTGAGGTGTAGTCCACTTTTGAGCTTTCAATTTAGAAATACTAATTATAACATGGCAGGGGGGAAGGTGGGGGACTTAAAGGCCTGCTCTAAGTCACTGTGCTATTTAATGACACTTTCTCATGTTAAATAGAAAAACCCAAACGCTTAATGTGAAAGTTCTGTTTGAAAGTTACCCTAGTATTTTGTTTCTTGCCAAATGCTTATCCAAGTCATTATGTTTCTTTTCCCTTTCTCCACAGTGCAAGTACTATTCTTGAGTATTCATTTTAAGTTTTAAAGTTAACTAGCTTATATGTGAAGATCTAGTTGGGTGTGAGATGCAATCTAACACAAGCTGAATGAAGGCAAGGTCTTCAAGATTCATCTTCAGAGCAAACAGTTTCTGTTTTCTTGTGTCAGCCTATAGACAATGTTTTGTTCTTTCCTTTTTAACAGTGTATTTTCCAAGGCTAGTGCTTAAGTAAGTGTAAGTTTTATGAGTGGTGTGGAATAGGGAGAGACAGTATATCAGGGAACACCTTTTGTCATGCACCTGAGAAGTGCCATGGAAAAAGATCCCCCTTCAGGCAAAGGTGCTGATTGTAGAAAAATCAAAACTTCAATTAAAACAGAAAAATAGTCCAATAGATGTCTATAAACGTCTTGCACAAGTGGGCAGTCTTTGTATATGTTTTTGTACATTTTGAGGGCTGGAGAAGGATGATCAGCCACATCTTTGTTTCTTCAAACATAGAGTATAAATACTCTACATGTGAATTTAAATTTTGGCTTGCATGTTGCTATATTGTAATGGTCTTTTCCTTCATTTATTCACTAAGGCTTTGCTTCTGTTTTTCTCATTAGGATGACAGTTCTGGCAGTCTTGCGTCAATATCTGCTCTCAGTCTATTAAACACAGGGGTATGAAATTTAATATATATTCTTACTAGTCGTATTCAATGCCATGCATGGGACTATGTAGCACTCATTAAAATAGAACAAACATCACATTTTCACAGTAGCATGAATATTTTATGGCACTAACCATCAACTCATTAGATACCATTAGTAAAATAAACAAACAAATAAACTTCACACATGAATCTCACTAACAACTTAAAGTGATAGAGTATTATTGTTTATTGTTGACATTGCATGTTCTTGAATAGCAGGAAATCGGTAATGCTAGAGCTCGACAGTAATTCACTTTCTATGTTTGCTGTGGCGCCTTGCTTAATGGTAAAAGTTGTTAAAAGGCTTAATTTGTAATATTTTTGAGCACCTTGTATTAGCTTTGAAAATTTATATCCTAGAATCTTTTTTGCCTTGTCACTAAGTCACACAAGCTATTAACAGTGGCACTTCAGAACTTCAGATGCTTTTAATCACTATTTCCAGTATGAAATTTTCCAATAGAAAAGTGTAGCTATTGAAACTTTTGTTATATGCTGTTATGTCTTCTATTTGCTGTGACTGGTATCCTTCTGAAATTGGTCCAATGCACATGCCTGTTACTTTGAAAACTTTTTATGTAATCCCACACCCTGTGTTAAACAGGAATAGTACAAGTTAGCTTTTTCCGTGGATCTGTTACTCCGGCTTTGTGAAATAGAGCAGTAATGTAACTGCTGGTTGATATGTGATGCCTGCGGTTCATGTTACATGGTCCAGCCACTCTCAGCTCTTCTTTATTGGGCCCAGAAGCCCCTGGCTTCATGCTTTTTTGTGAACAACAAAAGATGAAACTTGATGCAACTTGTTAGATGTCCAATTGAGGAAAAAATAAAGTAAATGAACAATTGAAGATGGATGACATTACTTTGGAAGGTTGACCTAGAAACACTTCAGTGTTTGTTTGGTTGTTCTCTTGTACTATGTGAAGATTAGTATTTTTCCCTCCTTCAGTATGGGTTCTTCCTATATCACCTGCAAGTTAGGAAAGAATGTACTGTTCTGTCTGTCCTGATAGCATCTGGCATTCTCAGTTCTGGGAAAATGTCTAGTTTGACTCTCAGAATTTTTCAGTGACATCTACTCTTGTTATAAGCACTTCTTTGTTTTTAATCACCTTGTAACCAGTTCTAGCTCAGCGATTTTAACATTTAACCTGGGGGGGACACCCATGACGACATAGGAGGGAATCCTTATGCATTGGCAGAAATTCTTCTTACATAAATTTTCTATTAGTTTTATTAAAGTGATGTAGATGGGTGCCCTCCTAAGCGATTCTATTAATGCTTCCATTCTTGGATGATCAACTCTGCTTGAAATGAAGGGAAATAATCTTTCTGATGATATTTCTGGTTAGCTGTACAACACTGTGAAAATAATCATATAGATGTTTTTAGAGGCCCATCTGTTCCACCGAGTCACACGTGTGTAGAGGGGAGAGAGGTTTAAAACCACTTGCAGAATATATGGCAATCCCCATTGTTTCCTCAACAGAAGTCATGATTGATTGAATAAAACCTGTTTCAGTATCAGGCTTAGAATTTTGGGGGAGTAAAGCATGTTAGAAGAAACACCCTGTGTAATGGGTGCATACTTTGTTTCATTGGAGTATTAGTATGCCTTGACATCTCCTTTAAATAGAGGCAATCCTTAAGATGGTGAAGGTTAATTCAGTGTTGTCTATCAGGTCACTTTCTCCTCCAAGATACATAAAACATAATTGGATCTGTGGTGCTTAATGTGTATAATTGGTACTTTCAGGACTGTGAGACTTTCACAATCCTTGTAATCTAAGGCTTTTATCACTCATTTCCAGGAGTTCAGCTTTTGTTGTTGGATCCTCGATAGATCAAAACTTATCAAAATTTCATGCATCCTTTAAAGCTCTATGGTTTGGGCACTGTAGATGCAAGTTTGTCTTCTAAAATTGAATCATTATGTGCACGCTTGGTTAAATACTTTATCCCGACAAGCACACCCTACTTGGGGTCAGCTAATGCTTTTGAAATGCTGCGATGCAGCTGGTTTTCCTTTCCGTAAATTAGTTTGCTTAGATGCTGGAAGAAGCTGCTATGGGCAATTATGCACATGTTACACAGTGCAATCCAGTACTGTTTAGAGATAGCTAAAATACCTCTGAATGGTCTAGCTGTCCTCTATGGTTCTTCTGAGGAAAGAAAGAAACTTCAGTTTCGTATGTTTTCCATGTAGATATCAAAGAGGTGCAGGTAATAAAGACCTGTGCAGATGTATTATTTTTCTTTTGTTTAAAACATCAGGGGTTTTTTGTTGGTTTGGTGTGTGTGTTTGTTTTCTTGTAAAGAAGTTACAATTTGGGATATCTTTATCTTCTTAAGCACAAAGGCAGTTTATAAGCAAAAGACTTTTTTACCCAGCCCCATTTACGTGTTACCTGTCTGTAGGTTAATAGGCTTATCTATATTTCTGTAGGAATAAATACTGGAAATACAAGTCCCTCCACATATTAAAGTGCTCTTAAATATATTGTCGCAGTGTTTTTCTGGAAAAACATGCTTTTAGCCTGTTAACAGGTTTATTATTGGCAGTAGATGAGAGGATGCAGTTCCATCCTTAATAAGGAGATAACTATTCTTACTTTCCATTAAAGCTGAGATTTGTTTTTCTTTATCTATTTTGGGATTGTGAAATGTTCTGTATCTTTTAATAAATACCAGATATGCTGCAATAAAGAATTTTTTTAATTCCCTAAAGTACTGAAACCATACATGTGACACTTCCAAAATTTTTTTTTTTTGCATAAACTCTTGCATAGTCTTGAATCTTAGTTGTCAGCTGTTCTATCCTGCATATATGCCCTGCATGTTAAGCATTTGACAAGACATTTGACTTTGAATTGTATTTTTACCTTGTTATGGAAGTGTATTAGCTCACATCTTCCGAAGTGAAATTCTATGTCAGCTCAAGCTTTTTATCCTGTGCCAAGAATTTTAGATTCTGTATCAAATGCATGGTTAAGGCTATTGGATTCCTTACATCTAGCCATACAAAATATTCCAGAAAAAATGGGTATTTTAGTTGCACAAACTAGTGAGCTCCATGCATGTCTAATCTTCAAATAAGTTTCCTAGAGCACAGGGTCCTTGAGGAAGAAGCATTTTCCATTGGGAAGCTCTGATACTTTGGAATATATTTCATCTTGGGGAATGTGCAGCCATGACAGTTTGAGCTTGAAGCTATTGTGGTCTCTGCTTACAGTTTTTCCTCTCTATGCATGCATTCTTTTCTTGCAAAAACCAACTGTTCGTAAAGTGTACTTCCAAAAACACAGTTGGGTGATGAGTTCTGCCTTTTGTGGAAATCCCTGTTGAAGATTTTTCTTTTTTTTTTTTCTTTCTTTCTCTGTTGCTTAGTATATCAGTTCTTAGCACGTACGATAGCCAGAAGCACTAGCATCATTCACATGTGTTGCTTGTAATAAAAGGGTGAGAGTGGCTTCATTTCCAACGTCCATTTTGCAACGCTTTTTTTATTTATCTTGCATACAAATTAGGTATGTAGGAATATTGAAAAGGTTGGTACCCTTTGAGCTTCCTCATCTCTGACCACTAAATGAACTTGATTTTGTGGCTCCTGTTACAAAGTACTGGAAAGTGTGAAAGTAAATCGGAACTTCTACCAAGAATATGAGGGATGGCACTGCTACTGTACTGCAGCCTGGATGCTGACCTCCGGGTGCTCTCACAGGATGCATTCCTAACTTAAGAATATGCTGGGGTAGCTTAGGTGTAAAGCATGGCAAGAGTGCCTATAATGTCTCTATGGTTTTAGGTGGAATGAAATAATTTCAGGCTTAAGAATATGTATATTAATTCATACAGTGAATGTTGGTTTTCTGATTTTTCTTGTGCTTGTGTGAATTACAACACAACTCTACCAATCCTGTATGTCCAGATGTTCAAGATCCTTGTTTGAATGTGCCAAATGATGTTGAATGCGTATTATTTTCAAGCAAAAGTTGTCTTGGTAGTTACCCTTCAGGAGAGGAATATGTTCTAGGAAATTTGTATAACCACTGTTCTTGGCCAGAGACTTAGAAATAAGTTGTATTTAAGAACAGTTGGCTAGTAACTTTTAAGTCATTGTGTTTACAAAGCATTAGGGTTTTAGTTTGAATGTATGTATAAACGATGATAGCAAACAGTTGTTCACTCTTTTTCTTTACAAGATGCGTATCTGGGCTTTTCTTGAAGACAGAAAAGCAACAGAGCTTCTCCTCTAGTTGAAATAGTAGGCTAGTTGCTATAGATTTGTGCTTGTCTTTCCAGGGTGCTAACAAAATGAGTTATTTGGTACGCTGCCATGGGGCAGAGTATGATACAGTGGTTAAAGGGTGGATAGCTGGAAGGATAGCTGAAGACTTGGGGCAGCAGGGGGGAGTGGTAGAAACCGCGTCAAAAGATACTGAGAATGTTTCAAAACCATTCTTTGGCTTGTTTTGCGGAGGTGCAATCACCGTTTCTCATCGGTTAAACTATTGTTCTGACTCCCACAAACTAGAAAAAGAAAAGGGCAAGAAGTCCAGATAACTCTTCAGGATCTGAAAAGTATAGTGGCATATAATGCATATGGCCTTACCCCTGTGAACACACCTGATCTCCTCTGATCTCTGAAGCTAACAGGTTGGGCCTGGTTAGTACTTGGATGGGAAACCACTTGGGAATACTGGGTGCTGTAGCCTCTGCCTAGCAAGAGTGGAGTCTCCATCCTTGGTGATATTAAAAACCTGGCTGAACGAGGCCCTGCGCAACCTGCTGTAGTTGACCTTGCTTTGAGCAGGGAGGCTGGACTAGATGATCTCCAGAAGCCCCTTCCAACCTCAATGATTCTGTGATAATGTCCTCTCTTGAGATGAGATTAACATGACTTCACTGAGGTTATACTTTTTGGATCATTTAATGTATCATGCCCGATGTGGAAGAACAAGAGATTTTGTTAGAGATCATTAAAATGGATAGGGTAAGGAGGCTGTTGAGCAGCAAGGTTTAAGCCACCTTAGCGCTGGGCAAACATTTTGTGTCTTCTCTGGAAATCTGAGGCTGCATTGTCATGTTTGTCCCATGTAACTTTATGGACTTCGACTGTGTACTGAATTTTTAAGCTATATAATAGATCTAAAGTTGTCAGCTCTGTTTCTATAGTGCTGTCAATGAACACTGAATGTATAAAGCCCTCTGTTTCTCCCTGGGAGAACTAATGGGTACAAGAAGCTATGTATTAAGTGTGAGATTCATTTGGGAGTAGCTTCTAGAGAAGATTGTTATGTGTGACTGGGAAGATACATGACCTAATTAGTAATTAACCAATTTTTTTATTTTTGGTGACTTAAATGTAAGATATTTTGGTTAATCTGTGACTGAATTTACTTACGCAATTATTAAAGCAACAGATGTACAAGAACAAACTGTTGTTAGATAAAAAAAAAGCTTGTACAAGTTAGAGCTCGCTTGGCCGTGCTTAAGAATAGAGCTGTGTGATCTGTGAAAGTACATTACTAAGGTACCTTGAATTTGTTCTCTTAAAAAGATGATTTTTCAGCTCTTAGTATTCTATGTGTGAATTCCAGCATGTGGAAAACTTGCAGAGAAACTAGTATTTAGCCTTCATGCCTAAGGAGAGTGTGAACCCATAGGCTAACTTAGTTTGGGAGTAAGTTGAAAGTCTTCTCACAGATAACCTTTTAAGATTTGCTGGATCGTAAGAGTGGGTTTCCCAGTAACTTGGCAGTAAATTTTTATTTACACAGGCTAAAAAAAGGAATGTGAGATTTGAGGTTTTCATCTGGCTCTGTCTAGCCTTTTTCCTAAAGACTGTCTCATATTTCTGTTTTGTTGAGTTGCTCTGTGGAAAAAGGAATGGGATTCTTTCTTCCTCGGAATCTTCTGTGTATTAAAGGCTCTTAAATATTTCTTTCTAAGTAGATTGTGTGTTTTAAGTTCTGAGAAAGAAATTATGTAAAACAGACTTGTAATGATAAATATTGTTATATTGTCACTGAGAACAGTGTAGGTAGTTCTGGATAATGTGGGTTTGATAGTCTTGCTAAAAGCTTTAGAAACGTGAGGGGTACCGGATCTTAAGGGTGGCTAGAATCAAAAGGAAAGAAATGGGAAGACATACACGTTCTTGCTTAGTGTTTTTTGTTGGGGTTTTTTGTCAACTTCACAGATTACTTAAATATTCTTGCGCACTAATAAGTTTGGGGAGATTATGCAGATTTCCTAACTGTAACTGATCCTTGGATGCTCAATAGTAATATTGAACTAGAATAGATCAAAGATTAAGTTGATACAAGAAACTGCTTTCTCATTCATCTTTACTTAGCAGTCCTGGAAAGCTGCACTGTCTTGCTGTAAACAATTTCAACTTGTAACGTTAGCTCCTTGCTGTCATAAATTATTTAATAGTATCTATTTTAACATTATTTAATAAGTGTTAAACAAGTAATATTAGAAGTGAGGCTGAAAGTTGAAATTTAATTTTTATCAATAATGTTGTTTAGGAATATGAAGCACGGACAGGAAGAATGTATAAACCTCCACCCCCATCAGCAAGACGTAAAAATATTGAATTTGAACCACTTTCAACTACTGCTTTGATTCTGGAGGATCGACCTGCGTAAGTATGATTCTACTGTGGAACTGACGATGACTGAATTTGTTAGATACGCTTCTGATGAGCTAAACTTCACAAGTCTTACACGAAAGTATCATTGGATTATTCCATCGCAGATAACAACCTAACAAATACCTCCAGAAGAACCTTTAAGTATATTATAGTCTATATGAGGAATTCTTTCTCGCTGTAATGGGGCCACCAGTCTGTTATCTACTGTATATCACAGCTGCCTGTGACAGTGCTGTGGGCATCCTTAATCAGGAAAATTCCTGAAGACTTTTCTGGATTTCTTCCCTGCCATCTCAGTGTGCACTCCCTTCTCCTTCCCCCATTCTGGAAACTTAATTTCCTAGACCAGTCGGGAAGACTTAACAGTGGCAGTTGTTACTTCAGCAAACCTGGATTTGGCTTACCAGAAGAGTCTTCTAAAAAAGAAAAAAAGAAAAAGTATTAGGTAGGTAACAGCAGGAGTGGGAAGAACTGCCTTTGAAACACAAGAAATACCTTCCTGTCACAAATGCTGAATGCTCATTTTGTATCTGGCAACTACAGTTAAATGCTTTATTGGTACTGAGATGATAGCGTTCACTGATACTGTTCCTTGCCCTTGTTCCAGTTGTGTTTTCATGGCTCCTTAAAACTACAGCTGAAGGCAAGGAAACAGCAGATGAGGATGCAACAAAAACTGCATTAAGTACAAATAAGAATAGTAATGAAAAATGGGTAATAAATTGGTCAGTATTTTCAGCTATACAGTCTTCAGAAATTTGAAGGAAAGAGGAGGACCTGCTGTCTAGGAATACATGCTGTGAGGAAAGCAAACGGAACAAAGCTTTCAAATTTCACCTTGAGAAAGCTTGTGATGGCACTGTTAAATGTTTGCCCTAATCAGTTCCAATTAGGAAATGGAAAATAGCACATACACTGTTTCCTTCGATATTCTCTCTAGTGATATATAAGCTCATTCAGTGATAAGACAGAAATATACTGAATGGAGGTACAGATTGCTATGACTGTTTTTTTGTAAATGCATTATTTCTTTTACTGTATAGTGGAGAGTAAGATATGTAATAACTGGTTTGCTAATGCTTTTCTGTACTTTCAAAATGTCACAATTCACAAACTAACATAAGTATGTTTTTACAAATGACACTTCCACTTGTTTCAAATTGGAGTGCCATCCCAAGTGTGTAATGTTGTCACAATCTCATCCTTGAAAATATTTTCTGCTCTCACTTTCATTGGAAATATTAATAAAGCGATCTTTTCTGCTTGTATAAGAGGAGATGGAAAATTTTTTTTGCATATTAAAATGACAAAACTGTCCAGTTTATTTTGAACCAAAGTAGACTAGAGATTGGGTAAGAGACTGAGACCAAACATTGTGTTCTGATGTGTTTTGGAATGAGTCTGCTTAGTCAAAAGGAAGTGTGTGTTTGGCAATTAAAGGATCACTATGCAGCCAAAACCCAAACACATTCTAAGCTGGTGAACTTGTAGCACTGCAGCAAGCTTCCTTAGCTTTAGCTCTGACATAATTGGGGATCTATCCTTTCTTCCTTTGGTAAACCTATCTTCTTTTGTGGGAGTTTTAAAGAGCTAACTATAATGAATAAAAACTTTTACCTTTTATTGAAAATACATCATCATAGATTTCATATGAACAAATGGAGTATTGATATGCAGGTATATTTAATGATTAAAATATGCATGTGCAGAAATGCATTGGAGTAAATAACTATATGGAGTATCAGTATTTCCCTTTTGTCACTTCATGCAAACTTCATTTGAGCATCATTCCAGATGTTCAACAAATCTAATAACCCTGCTTTCGGGGAAGCTATTGGAGGACTAATAAACAGACAACTGGTAGTTCTCTACTGCTGTTACTGAAACACTGGTAGTGCGACAACCCCAAAGCTCACCTTAGAGAGAAGCCAAATTAAAATCTGTTTTGAAATGGTTCAGAATGTCATTTGTGTGTATTGAATTCAGGAACAACTTGTTTTCAGAAATCTTCCTGCCAAATCAGTGGAGGAGGCTTTACGTCACCGACAAGAATATGATGAGATGGTGGCAGAGGCAAAAAAACGAGGTATGTTAATTGCCAATAATCACTATAATTCTTTTTAACTGTGCAGCAAAAATGAAGTAATTTCTGGCTTGTAGGCTAGTAGGTACAGTAGAGAACAACCTTGTTTAATATCTAGGTTATTCTCTGGTACCTATGTGCACACAGTTTAAAACAGAACTCAATTATCAAATCATTAAATCGTTTTCTTATTTCACCACAGTGACCATAACTAGGTTCAGAAGTCAGTTTAACCTTTAATTTTGAAGAAGAAACTTGATGTTTTTTTTTTTTTTAAACTACTTGTGTAATGTGATCTGCTAGAAACTTTCTGGGTACTTGGACTCTTTCTTCAAGCTGTATTGCTGCAGTTGCCACTGAGAGCCAAAGTATAATAAAGCTGACTGCTAAAAGATTTGTTTTTTCAAGAATTTGAGATCAATTCCAATGTGAAGACAGATGAAAACTTCAGGGTTTTTCCAGCCAGCTGTACCTGTGTGAACCTTCCTATTCCCACTAGATCTGTTTTTTAAATTAAACATATCTGCAGCATCTGGTACTGGGTCAATCTATGAATAGTTGTTGAAAGGACTTCTGCAGTCTCGTGCCTAGTATTCAGGGAATAAGCTAATTTAAGAATCTGCATGTTTTACTTGGGCTGTTGTCAGAGATAGAAGCTTCTGAACTGATTGAGCCTCTATGGATCTGTGGCAGCTTACTCTGAAAGATGTAATAAGAAATCCAAGGCATCTGACAACTCATTTCACTCTTCTCTTGTGGTGTGCATCTTGTAAGGTGTGATCTGTGGTCCATGTTCTCTAACTGCATCTTTGGAGGGTCAGCCATGGGTAGTGTTTTAATATGTGTGCCCTAGTATTCATGAAATTAACTATTGCTACACACAGAGCTTCAGTAAAAACTTAATGAAGCTGGTCGGCCATATCAGTTTACCAGGGATGGCATGTTTACTCCGTTGATGTGTCTAATGCTTGCATAAATAGACAGTGTCTTGCAATTTCACAGTGGTTCTTAGTGATGTCAAGATAGCACTTTTCTGTCCTTCTTTTAGCCTTTTTAATAAGAGGGATCTACAAATGATCCTTTTTTAACAGAAGGCAGAATATTCTTCCCTTGTTCAGCATTGTGGTTTTGTCTCAGATCTTTAGGTCCTCTTTCCAGAAAAGAAAATACATAATCCTTCTAGGTGGAAGTTTCAGTAAAATTTGAGTAATTTTAAAATGGATGTAGAATTGGACTTTTGAATAATAATTTTACCTATAATTATTGCTGATTAGTCTAAGTAATAAGTAAGGTTTAGGTAGAATGTGGTGTGAAATTCATTACAGGAAAAACAGCACTGATGATGTGCTTGCTTTTTAGTCATTCTGTGTACTGCAGAAGAGAGTGCTATGAGTTTTCTAGCCAGATTCTTGCTTGTCTAAATCACTGTGTATTTGAATAACTTAGCTTAAATTAAAAAATTTCCTGAGAAATACACCTACAGTCAACAGAAATAGTACCAGCTAGCTCATGTGCAGCCATAATTTACCCTTGATCTCTTTCAGACATCTAATTAATTAGATAATACCTGAATTATTTACCTAATAATTTATATACACTAATACAGAATTATTAACATGTTATGCCTAACAGAAATTAAAGAAGCACATAAAAGGAAGAAAATAATGAGAGAGCGTTTCAAGCAAGAAGAGAATATCGCTAGTGCTATGGTGATTTGGGTCAATGAAATACTACCTAACTGGGAAGGCATGTAAGTAAAGTTCTGTTGTGTAAATGAGGGAAGGCTGGCTTTTCTCCTCTGGAAACAGAGGAACCACATACCTTATTTTCCTTTTCGTTCCTGTTTTGTCAAGAAGCCAGTTTTTGTTACCGTGATATAGTGAGAGGTCATTACAGAGCAACATTAAATGTGCTTTCTGGGAGCTTAATGTTTTGGGGTTCTTTTAATGGGGCTTTAGCATAAGCAGAGATCCTTGAATATTGATTAGGGAAATATATGTTATTTTGCTTGTAAGTTGCCCAGTGATTTTAGAAAACAAGATGTGTAATATGTGCCTCTTGGGGTTTTTTTGGTTTTTTTGTTTTTTCCCCTGTTTCCTTATCCTAGGCGTGCTACCCGAAGAGTTCGAGAGCTGTGGTGGCAGGGATTACCCCCAAGTGTACGTGGGAAGGTTTGGAGTCTAGCTGTGGGAAACGAATTAAATATCACTCCTGGTATGCCTTAACAGATCACATTTTAATGTAAAATTAAGTTGGTTATTTTAAAATTTTGTTTAAAAAAATATAAATCAGGGTATATTTGCTTTTTGAAGAACTGTACTTCACAACCTTAGGAACAGGTGTTTTTTACAATTAGATGTCATAGCCTAGTAAATTATGGAAACAAGGTTCAAAAACTGCTTACGAAACATTTTAGTCTTACAAGAGTTAAGGTTGCGCTCCCCCCAAAAAAATTATTTTTATGTTTAAAATTGAGAATTTGTAGCTTTACTTTCTTAAGGGGGTGGAAAGGGGAATTGCTTCATTTCATAGGTAATGATTTTCATGAACTGGAAGCGTTCTAACCCATTCACAAAAATAAAAATCTGAATTATTTAAGACATGATTTCCCTCTTGTAATTTGCATGTGCACCACAGAAGAAAGCATAATACAGTGCACACTATAAAACCGTGTATAGTGGTACGCCAGCAGTTAGTGGTAACCATCTAATAGATTCTACCCCTGCCCCCAGCGGTTAAGATGAAACCAAGCAACAAAACCAAAGCCAAGAATACTTAGTGTGCTTTTGGTTTGGATGGGTGCTTTTCTTACTTATCTTTTCCTTTTTTGTTCTTGGTTTTGTTTTGTTTTCTTGCAGAACTTTATGAAATCTTCTTGTCGAGAGCTAAGGAACGATGGAAAAGCTTCAGTGAGACAAGTTCTGAGAATGACATAGAAGGTGAGATGTCCTGAATGCTAGACAGCCTCCAATGCGCTTTTACAAACCCAGAAAGTCTCACAAGTTCAGCTGCAATTGCAGCATTAGGAATACTTGTTAAAAGTGCTCTGAGTCATTCTCTACTTAAATGTTTGCTTTCTTGTAAGAAGTCAGTGAGTGAGAGGCTTAACAGTATTTGCTCTATCAATAAAAGATGCATTAAAATATTGCATATGCTAGTTCACTTTCAAATGAAAGTGTTTTCCTCTGAATTCCTGAAATACCAGGACTAAGCTCTCATGAAAATTTTAGATGAAGTACAAAAAGAAGAAATGGGAAACTAAATTACAGTATGTGCTGTTGCTTAGCTCTGCTTAGATGGTTCTTACGTTGGTATCCCTTCCACAATTTTGGGAAAGAAAAAAATTATTCTCTATTTTTTGATTGTGTAACTGAAAGGTAAAGAATATATAACATATTACACATTTCGGATCCCTTGGGTTTCCTGGGTTGCCCAGATGGCCTTTCCTCCCTAATCTATTAAGTGGGATGTTAGCACACTTGTATGTATAATGGAGTTTTGTCACTGGCATATTGCTGTCTCCTATGGCTATTCTCCCTGTGAAAAATAGCATCAGTGATGTTTTTAATGGTGGATATATCCTTGTTATAAACATTAACTCCTTATGCTGTTAACAGTCACTTTTTAAAATGCTGTCTTATGTGATATTGTCAGTACCAGCTGCTATGAAATAACTATTTTTTTTTGAGTCGGTCTCTTTTTTTGGGAAAGAAAATGCCATTGTAATGCAAGAAGTACTTTTTTGTTTGCACGTGCTGTAGCCTGTCCTGACTAATGGGCTACTTCGTAAATTATTTGGGTCTTCTCTAGGCTACCTCTGTGACTCATCTGAAACTTGTATAAAAAATTGTGTGTGTGTATGACTATAAATACGCTTATCCTTGGAAAAAACGTTTGCAATGCCCCTTGGTTTGTGGGGTGGCGGTTTGTTTGTTCCTTTGTTGTAGGGGTTGTGGGCTGAGCGTGGGGGAAGGCTTAGGTAATTTCTTTTGGAAAGGTAGTAGTTCTGGATGGGAATGAAGGGGGAAGGGGTCCAATTTGATTGTGTCAGATATTCTGGGAAATATAGTAATAAGGGAAAACTTAGAGTAATAGGATTTTCATCTCTGGTTGAAAAGCAAGCCAGCCCACTGTGCTTATTACTAATCTTTGGTAGCAAAGTCTGGAAGATCAATTATTTTAGCCTCATTTAACATATTTGAGTAGTTCTGAAGGTTTTTCCTGTTCAAATATCTTTAACACTTTATTTTGGCAGATAAAGATTAAAGCACGAAATGTATCTTTTTGTGTCTTGAAGACAAGACATTCATCAAAAGATGTGTTATCTATCACATCTGTTCAAAAGACCCCCAGCGACTCCTCTTTTGGTGTTGAACTGAATTTCTTGTATAAATCCAGAGTTTCTTATGCTTTATACTGTAGATTATAATCTTCCTTGGGAATACTCTAAATGCATACTGTCCCAAGTGAAATGATCCCAAATTAACCAATATAATACCTGTTCCTTTTGAAAGAGAAAGGAGGGATTAAGCAGCAGTTCCTGAACTTTTTATTTTAGATTGTGTATGTTCTTTCTCTGTAATAATTGCTGCCTTCCTCCCAAATTTCCCTAACACAGCCTGCAGCAGTCCCACTCACTCCTGAATGCAACTGTCTTAGTTTTAGGAGGACTGGAAGAAAATGCTGCTTTCCAGGCTTTAGCAGAGCAGGTTCTGTTTAGCCTATTCATCAAATTCTGCAATCTTCCACTTCCCAGATGGCTCTTGACTGGTTTAAGTCCTCTGAAAGAGCCTTTTCCCCAAGTGCCATGTGTATTTTTTTCCTTGCTATCACTAGTATTTGTATCACATCCCTATGTAGAAGACGGGATAGAGATAACTCAAGGGCCAGCTGAATTTCTTCTGGAGGAAAAATCTGAGTCAAATGAGAGCTCAGAAGTAATGTAACTTCTGCAGATCATAACTGTGTGGTCCATTCTGGAAACTTCAGTGAAGTTTCTCTGTATATTTTAGTTACCTTTAGTAAAAGTGGGACATGAGAAAAGCATGACTTCAAAAGTAGTATGCTTGACTTTGCAGGTGAAAAGAAGTGCTGGCTTTTGTGATAATTATGTAACTCATCTTTTTCTTCTAGTGTACAAAGTATATTTCAATGTTGCTTGTTGAAATGAGCCACCAAATGAGCCAATTAGGAATGAAAAACTTGGAAAAGTGAGATTCCACTAGATCACGTTTAGATCAAGAGCAGTGCTCTCATTCTGTGCTCTTGCACAGACTCAGTAATTGAAGTCACAGTAGAAGATAAGAAAGAAAACGGGGTTTTGAGGTCTGGGCAAAGTTCAAATTTTAGTGAATGCAGGGCCAGTCTGGGCCTGGATAAAGTGTTATACAGAAGTAAAAGGTAACCTGTCGGTTTTAAGTCTGAATAGTGTAAAGGTGTATGACTTGAAAAAGAATGAGTAGACAGGTAGTAATTACTCATCATTTCCCTCACTTTTTGGATCTGATGACATATATCAATGGACAGTTTTAGCTCTTGAATATAGCACTCTAGAAGCGCACTCCAAGCATTAGAACTAGGTAACTTTTTTCCCTTAGATCCTACAAGTCTTCATGTGCCTATGGCAGTTTTATTCTGAAGTCTGTAGAATTTATCTATCAGTTTTAATAAGTGTTGGTTTTGCTTGCAGATGCAGGTGCATCTGTTGCTGATCGTGAGGCCAGTCTGGAGCTAATTAAGTTGGATATATCGCGCACATTTCCATCCCTGTATATTTTCCAGAAGGTGAGATTTCTGTAACTTCAGTTATGACAACTTTAAACTTCTGAATAGTTAAACAAGAAAAGAAACCTAGCTGGCTAAATATGGAATAGTTTTTAAGAGTTGTTTGTATAAAACAACAAAAGTAAAATTAGTTCTTTTCCACATACAACAGCTAATAGTCATCTCTTTTTTTTTTTTTTTTTTTTAATGAGACTAAAGTAGGGACACTTAACAATGGACTGTAAGGCTTTTTGTCCTGGAAAATTGCATGTGGTTCCTATTAATGTTTATGAAATTACATGCAAAAATGAGAATATTGTCACTGCTTCTGCAGAAATCTTGATGCGTTTTAGTATTTAGATATAATATATGCATACACATGTATATACATAGCAGCACTATTGTAATACAGTAACTTGTGTTACCAAGAATTAAAACATCCACTGTCTCTGAAAAGGAAAAACCAACCCTGGACATGTACCAGATATCCTCATTTTCCATTATGTACTGATTTCCGCTGAATTATTTAATAGGATTATTCATCTGTTACTTTTCCTTTAACATCTCAAAGGCATACATGGTAATGCTTAGAGTAAAAACTGGTATTATTCTAGATGTGAACAAAGTAATAATTCACTGGCTCACTTGCATCTTAAAATACTGGCTTATTACCTTCCTATATTTATAAAGTGATTTTGAAAAAAGCTTTTTTTTTTCTTTTTTTTCTTTCTTTTCCCCCTTCTCCTTCCCCTTGTATTAGGGTGGTCCTTATCATGATCTCCTCCATAGTGTTTTAGGAGCATATACATGTTACAGACCGGATGTGGGATATGTAAGTATTTGCTGTAAAACGCTTATAACATGGCAAATGAGCTTAAGATGTCATGTATCAGAGTGTATTAAATAAGTAGGTTATCTAAACTTTATGCTACTAGCACTTAAAAAATAATTACATTTTGGCACTTTCATAGCAATAATTCTTAGAGATGATTAAATAGCTGAAAAGGTACTGAATGTCAAGAATGAGTATACCATCTGGCTTGCATGGAAAATTTTAAATGGATGTATTCACAAGGCATTATAGTTCTGACAGACCCACAGTATCTACAGAAAACAAAACGCTAGCGGACTTCCAGCGAGTACTCAGCCTGTTCTGTCCTAGTATTGCTCCCACTGCTGCCATTTCCATAGCGATACTCTCTGCTTCACTACCGCACATCCTAAAATTCAGAAACTCTTTATTGGTGTCTTGTCAAAGATTAATCGCTCCATCTGAGTTCAGTGAAGATAAGATTGTTTGCAGCAAACATTACTGTGTTTTAAAAAAAAAAAAAACCAAAACTCAAAGCCCATAAAAAACTACCAAAAAACCTGCAATAAACCAACTAAACCTAACATCTCTCTGAATGGTGTCAGCTTACAAAAGCAGTTAAATGGCAAACAGATGCTTTTTTTCTTCTTTTTCTTTCTTTGTTCCTGGCGGTAGCTAGGAACACCTTTCACAAGCTCTAATCGCTTCTGGGCTAAAAAGAACTTGAAGAGTTTTAAGTCTGATCCATGCAACAAAGCATTATTTAGCATAGGGTGTGTTTTTTCTCTCTAAATCAGACATGCTTGGGACTGTGCATCAATATCTAGTTGGTTTCTCATGTTCAAATATTTTTAGCCCTGAATTCTGTCATCTGTGACCTCATTTTTGGAGACCCTCCCATACTCTTTTAAGTGATATTACAAACTCTGCAGGTTCTGAGACCGCTTGTTCCCAGAGTGGAGTTTTAAAAGGCAAATAAGTAATTTTTCATGGATATGTCTTATCTTTTTCATTAGGAACACAGCTAGCCTGAATATTGCTGATCATAGATTTTTTTTTTTTTAATGTTAATATGGCAGTAAATTTAATGTAATCTTATTTCCACACTCATCTATCCCACAGAAATGGAAAGCTGCAGCACTGGTTTTGATGCATATTAACACTTCTTTTCCCTAGTTGGTTAAAATACAGAGTGCATTTTTTTTCAAATGCGGAGCAGGCAGCGTAAATGCCTAGAAACCGCAGAATAATCATCATTGCAGTTGAAAAATGGTAAAATTATTTTTTATAATAATGGGTATTCAGATCATCAGTTAACAACTACAAGAATAATGCTCTTCACTTTTATTGCAGGCTCAAGTGTTTTTGCGAGTAATCGTGGAAAAATGTAAACTTGCATTGTAGCTAACCACTTAAAAGTAATTTTATGTATGTGAACAAATACTGTTTGGCAAGTGGAAAGATATGTATTGACTGTTCTGAAACAGAATTTTGTCTCAATTCCAACATATCTGTCTGGGTCTAAACTGTCCCATATGTGAGGTTTTTCTCCATGTCTGTTTTTCCCATAGCTTAACAATGAACTTAAGGCCAAATTTTGTTTCTTATGAGCTCTGCATCCAGCCTGTGTGGTTTTAACTTTCTTGCATTCCAAGTCCCAAGGACTTGTGATCATGAGACCTCCCAGAACTTCCATCAAGCATCTAGAACCAGCATCTGAAGAAACACTGTCTTGCTGAAATCAAATTGGCTGCATGCATAAAAATTATTTATCTGTATTGTTTCTGTTTATCTGGAAATGTTATGCAATGGTATTTGGTGTATTGCAGACTGTAAATATTTGCATTTCCAAAGATAGAAGATGTACTGAACCTACTCACCTATATTTGCCTGATGCTTTTCCCACTTGAAGGTACAAGGGATGTCCTTCATTGCTGCTGTGCTCATTCTCAATCTGGAAGAGGCAGATGCTTTCATTGCCTTTGCTAACCTTCTAAACAAGCCATGCCAGCTGGCCTTTTTCCGTGTGGATCACAGCATGGTATGCAGAGTTTTCTGGTTTTGAACCGTAACATTCTTTTGACTTGAAGAATAGTTGATTTATTGATGACTTCCTTTTGTCCTGTTGAATAATAGACAACTTTAACCTGTGGTTACAAAACTGAGAATAGCAGATACTAATCCATAGAACACATCCTATGTTTTGATTTTTCCTCTAGAAACACTTAATCATTGTACTTTTCCTAAGAAGTCACATTGTGCTATGTTGACATCCTCAATTCTTGGTGGGGCTTGTGTTATTTTACAACTAAACATTCTTTTGATGACTGCTTATGAGATGCTTTACTATCTCCACAGATGCTGAAATACTTCGCAGCCTTTGAAGTATTCTTTGAAGAAAATCTTCCCAAACTGTTTCTTCACTTCAAATCATACAGTCTCACTCCAGACATATATTTGATAGACTGGTGAGTTCAGAGAACATAGTAAACCTAACCTTACAACTGTTGAAACACTTTCCATTTTGCTATAGGTTTTTCAGCAATGGAAATACAGTGTAAAAAAGCATTCAGTAGGTGTTTCTGTACCTCGGCTTCCTAGGTCTTGTGAAATTGTGGTGAACTGTTTTGTGCAACCACAGTTCTCTGGCAGGATTCAAATTTTATGAACTGGGATTAGAAGTGACATCTATTCAGATAGATTGTTGTTGCTGCAGGTAAGAGTCAGCTGTATGTAACATAAGTAGGGGAGAGAAGGCTACTACACCGTAGTTGTCTTATGACTGATTGTAAGTGACTTGATGAAATGAACATAATCAGCTACCGAAGAAAGTATGAATATAGGAGTATAGACTTCAAAGCAGAAGGAGGATGAAATTTAGGACCTGGTTTGGGAAGGGATAAACTTGGAAGTACAGTGAACATTTTGAAGTAATGGATGTTCTAAAGCAGAGAGTACCAAACTATGTTATGTGCCTGTAACAGAAGGCAGTAATGCAGGCATCCTTGAAGTGCGTGTAGTGCTGCCAAATATGGAATGTCTATTCGTGTGTGTGTGTGGATAAGGATGTGCTTCATACAGGATTATTATAGGGGTTAGAAGTTTCTAATAGAGTAAATTGAATTGGGTAGAACTAAATAATATAAAAACGTCATGTCATGTGAGTACTTGGGAATGAAGAACTTCGGCTATAAGATGCAGCTTGTCAGTAAGCAGTAAGTCTCAGCAGGAGCAGGGTATAAATAGCAGCATTGAGGCAGGAGCGTGCTGCAGTCCAGAGAGTTTAGGCAGATCGAGAGGTATGTATGTTGCAGTACAAAGTACTAAATATTCTGCTTCCAATTACGTGTGAGAAATGAAGATTGTTATTCCTGCACACGTTCCGAAGATGGCCTTGAGATGGAGCGAGCCCCTCTTATAAAGGGAGAGTAGAAGAGGTTGTGGTAGTCGGTGGTAAGGAGTGTTCTGAGGTTTCTGAACCACTTCCCAAGAGGAGTAATGGAGAAACAGAGAACACTGTGCTTTGTATCAAAGGAACCACTACAAATTTATGGGATGGGTTCTACAATATGGTACATACAGCAGACTGAATTCTCTGCCCATTTATAATGAATGCTTTTTAAAAATAAGCTTTGCAATAAGAAATGCAAGTGGACTCTTCCCGGTAAGAATAGAACAGCAACTGTCTTTAGATTTTTGGCAATTTTTAACGTGAATGAAATTCAAAATGTATCATGGAAATGTAGTTATTGAATTCTCATTAGTACATTGATGGGATGTAGCCTTCTATTGAGATGATTTGTGGCTTTAGATTTAGTTTAGAAAACAAATGATGAACAGAGCTGTTAAATTGTATGGCTTAAAAAATGGGAAGGGTTAAGTTCTTATTTGTATATTATACCCTGTTTGAGTGTAAAGATGTTTGTAACTTCTCTAGCCAGAGCTTTCTAAAGGAGGTGGCTTTCAAATGGAGGATTTCCTGTAGCATGAAAAGAGATAGGTTTCAGAGTAGGAGTTCCGACTTTAAAAACTGGAGACTTGTGGATGTTTGAAATATGGAAAAAATAAGAACATATGAAATAATTTGTCATCTGCTCCCTGTCAGCTAACGTAACTGAGATTTAAAGGAGGTTGTATTTTCATCTTTCTGAAATAGGTTAAAGTTATAACTGTGCCTTTTTTTCCTCAATTGTAGGATTTTTACACTCTACAGCAAGTCATTACCACTTGATCTGGCCTGTCGTGTCTGGGACGTTTTCTGTAGAGATGGAGAAGAATTTTTGTTTAGGACAGGGTTAGGAATCCTTCGGTTATATGAAGATATTCTCCTACAGATGGACTTTATTCATATAGCACAGTTTCTAACAAAACTTCCAGAAGACATTACATCAGAAAAGCTTTTTGGTTGTATTGCAGCTATTCAGATGCAGAATAGTAACAAAAAATGGGCACAGGTGAGTTTCTTGGAGAGAGAGATACATACATCAAAACAGACATGTCAGCACATGAGTATATGGGGCACTTCTGTTAATGACTACTTATGCTGCATGTCTGACTTCTGAGCGATGGGCACTTCCTTTCTAGTGTCTCATTCTAAAAACTAATCTCCATGCTAATATTGTGGTGGTTAATATTGATCTTTTTTATAAGACTGGCTTTTTAATATTCATTAAATAATTTACTTTTCCAGGTGTTTGCCTCACTGATGAAGGACAACAAAGAAGGGGATAAGAACCATAGCCCAGCACTGAAAAGCTAATTGTTGTAATGCTGAGGTCAATTGAAAATGTGGAAAACCACTTGATGACAAAGGAGTTTTCACATCACTTCTATGTGGAAAAGCACTATAGAAAATGTGAAAATGAGATGGAAAACTGACAACAGCTCTCAGTGGAGTAATGAACTGATGAAATCTTCACCCTTTTGCCAGTATTAGCTTTTGTTGTGGGAAGATTTGTTTTCACACAGAATACTAAAACCTATGAAACTGAGAAGCGGGGGGAGTTCATATTTAATACTTTAAAAGAATCAGCTCAATGCAATAAACATTTGTAAGAACTTCTGTTGGTACTTTAAAAAAAAATTTTGAGGCATAACTTTTTTTACAAATACCACAAAGGCACTTTTTTGGGGGGATGAGGGAAATGCTAAATCTTAAGGCCCCAAAAATGCTATCCAAACCAAATGCTTTGGTACAAATATTACCTCCAAAATTAACCATTTGAAAGTAGTGAGGACCAAATAAGGTTGTTTGGTATGTTTTTGTGCAAGATGGTTAAAATTTGGGAAGGGGTATTGTCTTATTTACTTGTTTGGTTTTTTTTAAGTTGCAGCTTCATTCTTCAGTCTGGGCAAATGTAATTAACTCAGGAACTGTGGAAGTATTGTGCCCAAACCTGTTAGAGCAAAAATCATCTGAATTTTAAACAGCGGTAAGATCAGGGCTATTATTTTCAGAGTGTACAGCTTTCAAAGCGAGTGGTGTTAAGCATTTGTTTTGGTGTATTGGTTGTGCAGCTTTTTAAAAATTGAGTGGGTATTCTGTGAAAGAGTTTTGCCACCAGAAGTTTTATTTTGTCGAGCCACTTCCAGCTATGAAATACTTGTATGTAACAGTGAACACTAGAAACTGACAAAGCTATCTGCAGACTTTATGTTGTCAAAGGAGCAGCCACTTTTAATGTTTCAGAATAATGCAGACACAATTGTTTTCAAAACTGTCTTTTATTAGTGTGCAATACTGAAATCCAAAAAGCATCTGGTTCAGTGCAACTTAATTCTTTAATATCTTTTAACTGTGAGACATAAGGTCATACTGTATGTGTCACGGCAGGTATTTTCAAACATTTCCTGTTCTCGAAGATGCTGTACAACAACTTGTGATTGTAGGGGATGGAAATCTAAAATGGATAGCACTGCAGGTGAGGAACACTTGCACTCCCTTCGTCCATTTTTGCTAATATTTAATGTAAATAAATTCCTTACATGTGGGTTTTTGTAACTGGTCCCTCTGTGGAAATCAAGTCAAAATTACCAGTATGTATTTTTAAGTGCAGGAGGCTTCCAGTTGTCTGGTGTTTAAAGCAGAGTCTACATAATTGGGGTAAAGATTTAGTGTGGTGTAACTTACGTTGCTATCTGGTTTAAAAACTACATATATACTACTCATAACATTACAATTTGAAATTTAAATGTCAGTTTTTTCTTAACTTATATATTCACTACTTTCATTGGATCCAATTTGTCTTATATTTTTGTGTTTCCTTGTACAGTTTTCTTACTTTTCAACTATAAATCTGTATATAACTGTAAATAGAAGGATCAAGCCTTCCTTTAAGACCACTAGTAACAATTCCTCTGTAAATAAAACTTACAGCAGATGTGCAGTGTGGTTCTCTTCCGTTCCTCCACAACTTGCTGCCAAGTCTGGTAAGAGGGTGGTGTACCGGTGAAGACGCAGCCGGTTACTGCACCGAGTGACCACGCTTTTGGTACCTGCGTTTCTTGCCTCCCTGAGGAGCTGAGGTGAAGGGCAGCGTCGTACGCTTTGAGGTTAGCTTCGCTCCTTTTGAGGCTCGGGGCTGAGCTCTGCTCCCGGGGGAGTGTTTTGCTGCGGGGCAGAGGGTGGAGCATTAAAATAAAAGATTTATCTATTTATGAAGTGGGAGCAGCTCCCCGCCGGAGCAGGCGCCCCTTTGTTCCTCACCAACGGCTGCCGCCCTCCGCCGCCAGGGGCCGCTGTGGCTGCGGCCGCGCGGG